TTCCTGAGATAAGTATACAAAATAATTTTCCTACAGAGAATGATCATTCCTTATTGTTTGCTACATAATTTTGGTAATTTTATAATAAAACATTTGTTATAGTGGAACACACCTATTCTATAGTTAATAGACTCTCCCACCTATAATAAGTAGGAGTAGTAAGAGTAACAAGTCAGTCGCTCAGTGAGTTGATCAGTCAGTCGATGTCGGACGACCGTTAGTCGGATATTCAAGTATCAGCCACCCAACTAGATTACTGAGTCATTACCTATTATATCAAGTTCCTAACATTTTGTACGTCAAACCTATTTTAGGACCGACTTAGTACAAATACAAGCCTCCACTGTGAAACCACTACATAACAACATTAAAGGGTAAAAAATAAAGCCAATGCAAAATAAGACAGTTAAATCTGTTTTCAACTTGTAAATTTTATCCCAACTGGTCAACTAGGGGAATTTACCTAATGCCCACTAGGTGACATAGTATAAAAGGAAAGGATGCAAACATTCTCTTTTTCTTTCTCTCTTCAACCATAGCATGATGTAGTGAGAAGACATGACTCACTTCTCATCAGGAGAGGTTTCTTAGCCCCCATATATCAACCATATGTCACATACAATACACTACACTATTTTCTCTCGAACACCCCAACCCTGCAAAAATCATTGGATCACAGTATTTCCACAACAACCTATCACACACACACACACATATATATATATATATATATGCACATTTCATTAAAAATGACAGACAAGGTGCCTTTATTTAGTTTTTTATACAATTTCTCTTGTGATCTAATAATTTTTTTTCTTTTTGAATGATAAATTATATAAAAACTGTCCGAATGTTCTTTTTATCCAAGTGCTTTCGGCTATACATTTAGCCATTTTCAAGGATTATATTTTAACTGTTAAAATTAGAAATAGTTTGTTATATATATCTTTTATAAAATGTTTTCATTTTTTGTTTCAAAACATGGGCAAATTATTATATATATACCTACACACACAGAGGATGTGATGGATATACTGTCTTCTAAATTATGCAAAAAATGAAAATAACACTGACATCACATTTAACAGATATATTTAACAAAATTACACAAAAATATCTTGAAATACTAAAGAATTCATTTAATAGAATTGCTATTAGCTTCAACCACAGCCTGCAGATGACTTTGCAATCTCCTGCAACTCTTCTGAATGGTCTCCTTGTTTACGTTGGTGAATGCTGCCATAATCCTTGCCTTCAGTTCATCTTTAGTGTTACAAGGAGGTTTGTTGTTCTTTTGTTCACCTGCACCCCACACATAATAATCAAGGGGGTTGCTGTCTGTGAAGTTAAGTGGCCAGATGTAAGGAGTAATGTGGTCGCAGAAATTGTCAGAAAGACATGACTGGATTCTCCTGTGTGTGGCATGATGCAGAGTCCTGTTGCCAGACATAGGGTTTCCAGCTACCACTCTTTTGACCCAGGGCAACACTACCTTCTCAAGGTACTTTATGGAGGTCTCTGTGTTGAGTCTGAGGCCCTCACCAACAAATTTTTTTTTTATCAAAATGATTAGAGTGATTTTTCTGAGCTGCCATACCTTTGTAATCACCATTAGATTCATCCAAACTCTTTCCAAATCCTCTGCACTGTCCTCAAATTGATACCCAAACACTATGAAATGTTTGTATTGGAGTTTCTGGTGTGAATTTCAAGTGGTACAGCATGCCATTTCCAAATTTCTGGCTGAGTGAATTGCATCATGGTGCTCTTTTTCTCACAGACGGTGCCCAACTGAACCTACTATACTGTAAAGTCGACACAATCAAAAACAATGTGCATGGGCAAAATTAAAAATATAAAAAAGGTGACAATTTACTCATCTCTCTTTCTCTCATATATATATATATATATATATATATATATATATATATATATATATATATGACATAACAATATTTAATTCTATATATCAAGAAACAGTATAGAGAAAATAGTATTACAAACTGGAAAAAGTTTTTGTGACAGGTTTCATCCATTAGGGCTTCATTGGATTGGGCTTTGTTGCTGTTGCCATGTCTACACATGAGCATGAAATGAGATATGTTAGTTTCAAAATTCTCTCCAGTTTGTCATAGTATTATCTCTCTCTCTCTCTCTCTATATATATATATATATATATGTATAAGCCTGAAGAGCGGGAGCGAAACCGGTTGCTTCACCCGTTTTTTTTTAATATGTCTCGTAATATTAAGTTTTATACTTTTATTTCGATCATTAAATTTTGTACCTACAAAAATATCTTTATATATATATATATAAATGAATTTCTGTATATATATATATATATAAATGAATTTCTGTGTTGATAACATGCCCTGTGAATAATATACACTAATTTTTAAGCTAAAATTCCTGAAAAAGAAAAGTGCAAATTACTTCAAACTTTATAATAGAAAGAATAAAGATATAAAAATTCAGCTGCCTAGGTAAAGTTTATCAACTACAATTAAAACCTTTGAGTTCTGAAAATCCTGTTATTTTTTTCTATCAAGCAATTCCATTGCCAGGATTAATGGGATAAATAGTTGCTTCAAGTGTCACCAGAAGATCACCTTTTGTGAATAATGCAAATCATTTTCTTTAGGTGCTAAATTTGAATTTAAAAACAAAAATGCGTATCACAGTTTATTTTAAAATTCTTTTAAAGAACAAATTTTAGTCTAGACATATCATCATCATAAGGAATATCATATCAGACATATCATAATCATATTTTAAAACTAAATTTTTAACTTAATTGGACATTAAATATGTAAGAAGGGAAAAATGGATAGATCAAATTGAATAGGCAGGGATACATTCCAATTTGAAGTAAAATAATTCACCAAAATTTTTTCCTCCTTTTTAATCTGTAACAAAAAAGGACTCAATATATAACACCTAACTTTACTGCTTCTATCTCCAAAAGAGAGACACTGAAAACATGCAAATTATAACAAAGAATTTAAATACAAAGTTCAACAAAAAAAAAATAAAATTTAAAGTATCTTAATAACTTTCAAGGCACACAAACATGGAAGCAAACGAAAACAAAAGAACACACCATTTAAAAGCAAAATAGCTCAGCTCTGAAGACTCCAAAGGTAACAGAAAAACACTGCCTTCAGACTCATAGTTTTTTAAAAAAAAAAAAGACAGAGAAAAAGCTTGTGAATGGTGGAAAGAAACTCAACAAATAATTTGGAATTGATTCTGAACAGTAGAACCATTTTTTTTTCTTACATCAGATCAACTAGAATAGCAAATGACATTGACAAATTTCAACAGCAATGAGCACCTGTCTGCCGACATAAAAGTACACATTGATACCCCAACAGAATTGCTTCTCCAGCAACCAAGACTTCACACACATGCATTAATTGTAGCTGTTGTTGGTTGCTTTTGTTTAGTGACATATCAACCTCTATGGGTTATTTAACGCTGAAATCTAAATATTTTGAATGCAATTATATGCCTACAACTACAAATAAATTGTTGGTAACTATATTATAAATAGGTAATTTCACTACAAATATGTATTGTTGGCAAATTTTTATATAAAAATCTATTGCTGGAATTTTTACTATAAAACTACTTTCATAATGTGTAGCCGTTGTCAAGTAATATTAACTTGCAGACTAAACTGAACAACCTCCTTGAACAATGCTATAAACTGCATATCAAATCAACAATACGGAAAGCAAAGAGAAATGCTAAGCATTTGATTTTTCAATCTGTTGATACCTTTTTGTCCTCTGATGAAAACTACAGACAGCCTTTGTTGCTAAACTATGAGGTAGAATTTAAATTTTGGGACATTTTTTCGTTTTCATATTTAAAGTTATATTCTCTAAGAATTCATTATTATAAAAGGAATTTGTTCCAAGATTCTAAACTGTAAAGAATAAATAAAACAAGGTTTCTTGCACTCTTAAAAATTAAAAATGGATATTAAAAATCACAGAATTGTAAACTTAACTGATGAATTGTTCAGACTATTATTCTTTTTCTTTTTGTTAATTCTTTTTTTTTTTTTTGTTATATTTTGGCAGAATCATTCTTTGGCCTTCTTCAAAATGCACAATCAGCATAAAAAGAGTCCCCACCCCCTTGTAAAAATATTATACTGGAAACCAGAAAAATAATGACTAAACAGAAGAAAAATGGTACCAAATGTACTGCCCTGACTAATCCATGATATCAAACCTCACAGCCACATGACTGATTGATTATTTTTGTTTTTTTACAGTTTATCAACCTTTTGCAAATTATTTAAAGTTAAAACAGTTTTAGATTGTAATAATTTTGTTTTTGCAAGTGAATTTATTAACAATATTTGTAGATAATAATGATTTTCAGATACAATTTAGCATATAACCATTAATCATCTCAGAGACCCTTCTCTGCCTTCTCTCAGCATGGCTGATGCTAACCTCCAGGAAAGTGACTCATTGTTACTTCTTGAGCTAACATTTTTCGTTGACATGAAGTGGAAAGACATTGCTAGGTGAGCTGCTAATTAAGTTGGTTTTCTGTGAAATTCTAAAATCAAAAGAAGAATCAGCAATATTATTGGTTCTGATCTGGCGGCTTGGCTTCAGTCATTTTCCCACCACTGTAAGATTGGCTCCCTTAAATTCGAAATTTATACTTTTTTGCGTGTGGAACTCCCTTCTGGCTCTGTGTTTTCCAGCCAACTTTAATCTTCAAAAATTTAAATGCAATGTCAATCACTATCTACCGGCCTCCTGATTACTCTTTCCTCTTCCCGCTTATTATTAATGTTTCTGTTTCTAATTTTTCCACACCCATTCACACCTTGTGACTTAGTGCCATTACTGCCTTGCATGGGGAGAACTCAATCAAAAAAAAAAGAAAAAAAAAGCTGTAACTTGACCTGAACTCAGCATTCCAATTTCTCATTTTGAGCCATTATTCATTTAACCACCTGCACATCCAAGCTTACAGCACCTGGTATTCCCAAGCGGTCACCCTTCCAAGTAGTGACAAGGCTAGACATTGCTTAATTTTGGTAATCAAATAGGAACCAGTGTTTTAATGTGATATGGTTGTAAGCACAAGAGTGGAATATAATCTAATTTTCAAACAATATATATCTACTGACAGTATACCATATCAATTACTACTGAGAAGTGAGTTTAATCCTCACTAGGTGCTCTATACTTTCGGCCTTGTGCCACATTTAACCTTCACTTAGTAAATCACTATATCTCCTGAGAAAAATGAATTCTACAAAAATGTAATTGTCAACTCACAATTATTCTATGTTAACTGACTCAACAAAAATCTACCTTTACATTTATTTAGATTTATTCCTTTTTTTTCATTTAGAGTTGCCTGGATGATCACCAAAGTTAAGTAATGTTGATTCTGGCCAGTACCTAGATGGGTGATCACTTGCAAATTCCAGGTGCTATAAGCTTGGATGTGCAGATGGTGTAATGAATAACATCTTGGAGTTAGAAATCAGAGAGCCAAGTTCCAATTCCAGTTGTGTTTGTTATATTCACTTATTTGTAAATAACCTTGGGAAAGGTATGAATCTACCTCTTCTCCAGCCCCAAGCTATAGGTCAATTAGGACTTGTATTAGTAAAATCATTATTATCTCCAAAAAATTCTTACAATCAAAAAAAAAAAAAAAATTTTCTGGATTTAAATAGCTTACAAAGAGTTGACAAGTTGTAAGAAACAAATCAAGCAATTTGACCTGCATAACAATGAATGGCATGAAGAATGGGTATTGTCAAGCTGGGTTTCAAACTCAAGCTGAAACAGTTTGAAGCAATAACATTGGAAAGGGCATGAACTCACTTTTCCCTGTCAGCTATGAATAAATAACAGGGCAGTTAAAACCCTTTACCTCTCCAAAAGGCTGCCTAGTTTTGGTACCAGACTAGTACTACCACCATAGAAAAATTTCACAATTGCTACATGCTATGATTGGATCTCCATGGATCATTCTAGAAGTTAAGACAAAAATCACTGCCTTATGATTCATCAAAGATAATGCAACATTGCTTTTTACATTTAATCGGTAAAGGAGAACTAAAAATAAAACTTTAACTTCTACATGTTCTCTGTACAATAAGATTAATTTTGCATCGTAATTTAAAAAAAAAACAAAAACAAAAAAAAAAATCTCTCACAAGACAATCAAATTTTCTAGACAGAATGGCAAATGGTTGACCAGAGATGACCTACAAGAATGTCCACTGCTTATCAAAGCTAAACAGGTAAAAGAGATGAATAGCATATAAAACTATCATTATACATTTTGTTTTTTTTGTTTTTTTATAGACGTCTCTCCTTAATGTTTTCTTTTATTATTCTCTCACACTATTATTCCTCTCACCCTTGCATCTTAGTGGCTTTATTACCTTGCTGGGAGGGTGAAATGATTAAAACAAAATCTCTGTAATCAAAGCAAGCATATTTCTGAAAACATTCAAAAGGTTATGTAGATATAAACACAATCTCAATCTTTAATTCAGCTGTTTTGTATACTTGTAGGTTACTAATGAACAAGTTCTTACTATTGTCTTTCTAATATTCCAAGATATATCAATCTAAAACATTTTCAAAAGCAAAACAGCAGCTTTGAATATATCATTAAAGATTCTTGTAAAATATTTTCTTAGGGCTACAGAAATATTTGTATATGTCATTAAGCCTTATTAAAACTTAATATATATATATTTTTTAAGCATTTCACCCCAAGCAAGGCAGGAGTGCCACTAGCACACAAGGGGTTATAGAGAGTGAAAGTAAGAGTAAAGAGGGGTTTTTGAGGAAAGGATAAAGAGAAGGATGGGGATCAAGATCAAGATATCAAATGTCAATTGACATTATATTTGAATATTCGAAGATTATAGTTATCAGGGAAATAAAAGGAAGGGAGGTCAACTGTTGGGAAGTGTGAGAGAAGAAGCTGTTGGAGTAGAAGAGGCAGTTATAATTAACTGTTTTGACAGTAAAAAGGTGGGATTAAGATACCAACCTAGTAGTATTCTTAAATTCATGCAGTTGGGGCACTAGTGAAAACAGCTCGTCAGAGCAGTTGCCATAAAAATTTTTGTAGAAAAGACAGAGGGAAGCCACATCATGTCTGAGAAAGTGATTGGAGTCAAGATGCCAGATCAGGACCTATCATATTGCATATTTGTCTTTGGATTTTGTTGAGAACCTCAAGATGACCAGTGGAGGCACCAGACAATATATGGCAACAGTATTTCATGTAAGGATGGAATGGTAAATTTGTAGAATTGAAGGATGGACTCAGATTAGAAAAATCTTCTGGTGCAACACAGAGAACCATCTTTGCTTGCTGTAGAAGAAGCTATTGATTCAATGAAGTTGTTCCACCTCAGGTCAGTGGAAAACATGTGACCAAGAAGGCGCAGTGAGATGTTCTTGTGAAGTTGAGCATCAGCCACGCTGATAGGAGGCAGGGATATTTCTCTATGGTGGGTAAATGAGAGCAGTTTCGTTTTGGAGGTATTACAGTTTACAAGCTATTTCTTGCCCCAGCCAACCACAGATTGGAGGTTCTTTTCAAGACCAACAATGCATAAATTATTTGCTATATCTTCATACACTAATGTCAAATTATGCAAGTGAATGTTTTCACAATAAAATAGGTTTTAACCAACTGCAGATAACATTTTCAAGAGATGATTTTATTTAGATGAGCAAAATATTGATAATAGCTTGTTTTGTTCATGTCAAGTTTTATGATGTAAAGACATTTAAAATTTTTTTTTTTTTTTTTTACTTATGAGTAAATCCAAAAGATACAGGCCATAGAGACATTGATAATTATAATATTGCATATATATGAATAAATTATTATCTTATTATTTTACATATTAATACAGGCACCTTGATATTGTTAACCTTCATCAGTCTTGACATTACTTAAAATAGTTTTTATTGTGTCCCAGAGATCTTTACTTGCATATTATTTTATTATCTATTTTACTGATAGATCACAAGTTTTCTTTTGGATTACAATCTAGAGCAGGCGTTCACAAATGGTGCAGCATAATTCATAGGTGCAACAGAAGAGGATAGCAGGTGAGGTGGAATGATTGAAAGACAATCAAAGATTTAGAAACAGTTTCAATATGCCAAAAATAAATATGATTTCAAAATTTAAAATAATATTATGGATTACTTATAATTGCATGCATGAATCCCAGAGTAAACAGTTATAAATAATTATTGACTGATTTGATCACTGTGATATTTTTCATTATATCAAGTATTAATATAGTAACTAGGGTCTGCAAATCAGAGGAGAGTGTTATCAATGATAATGATCTGATTTCAAAACTTTGGTTATCTCCCTTTAAGCTTATCTTTGTTTTTTTTTAAATGTACTTTTTATCACATAGAATTTGGTGATGTGTGAGCAAATTTTCACGCTGAAAATGTGGCCCAAAGAAACAAGTTTGGGAACCACTGCCCTAGAGAAATGGGAGGTAACTCCACTGTCATTTAAACCATTTTTTTGGCGAGATGGGCAATCAGCTTGACAGAATATGAAGGAGCATTGTCATACATAAATATACTCTTCAGCTTAAACATTCATAGTTCTAATTTGTACAACTCAAAAAACATATTGTCTAAGAAAGTACAATAATTCTCTGCATTTATTTTGATACCATCATCAACTTTGAAGGTACCATTACTTTTTACTATCTATACTAGTCCAAAGCATTACTGCTTTCTGCTGCTTTCAAAGTCATTTTGGTTGACTCTTTTCAAGATGGACAAAACTTTTTACCCAACTATTAGGTTCATCCAATGTAGCTTGACATTCATCATTAAAAAATTTACTATTGAGAATACATTTTTTATATTCTTCTTTGCTCAACTTATATATTTCTCTTTGTGACATTTTCTTAAATATGCTGGTTTGGTTGTTTCCATGTCTTCAGCTAATAATAATCTTAATATTCTGTATCTTCTGTCCATTTATATTCCCAAAACATTTTCTGCAAATATCTTCTTGCAAAGTCAATCCACATTTCTTGCGTATTACTCCCTTTTACCTCAAATCATTTTAGCTCCATTCTTATTGCTAGTTCTTCTTGTTCTCATTTCGCTAATGTTTTCAATTTATTTTTTGATTGTTCATCATCTCCATTTAACTATTTTTCGATTTCCAGCACTACTCTCCTATCAATGCAATTTTATAATATCTTGTTTCTCTTTTTATAATCTATGGAAATCTTTCAATATCTGAAATTAAGATATAAATAAAAATACCATTATATATATTTACAATATGATAAAAAATCCCTTAGTTGATTAATAAAATCTCCTACAGCCAAATAAATTTGGAGAATATTTCTAATAAGCTGAACTTCACATTGTATACAAGGTCTAATCAAAAAGTATCCAAACAGTTGTTATGGTAACAGATGTATGCAGAGTGAAGTTGCTTATCACAGACTGACCTAGAAATCTGTCATATATATATATATATATATATATATATATATTTAAGTTATAACATTCTCACTCACTTCCAGTGTTTATAGCAGGAAAGTGTGTAGAGTGTGGTCATCTCATTACACTACAGAGGTTCCCTCAGTGACCATAGCTTGTGCAGCAGTTTTTGGATGAGAACAACATTCCCCAGGTCTGGCAACCACCATATTACCCAGATCTTGTCCATTGCAATTTTTCCTCTTCAAAAATCAAAACTCACTTGAAAGTAGCAAGATTTTAAGATGTGAAGGAAATCTGAAGAAATGTGACGAAGCAGCTGTTTGCTATGCCAAAAAAAATGGAGTTTCATGAATGTTTCCATCAATGGAAATGATGTTTGATAAATTTTGTAGTTTCAGTAGGGGACTATTTCAAAGGAGATTAAGCGCTTAATTGATATGTGTTGTAGTTTCCTTTTTTACAGCACCAGTACCAATACTTTTTGATCAGCCCTCGTATTTGTCATATCTTGAAAATTGTATTAGACAAGATCAGTTGTCGCATATCAATTTATGAAAACTGATTTACATAATAAAATCTGACAGTGTGGTCGTT